TTGACTACTTCGTCGTGTCATCGGCTATCAGTTCGTGCATCAAAGATGTCCAGGCTATCCGAGGAGCGCCGCTTTTTCCCCATTGCCCTGTGCTGCTTCGGTTGGGGAACCTCTGTCAGACGGCGGTGGTCCAGCAACAGACGCGTTTCAAGCCGTTCAGCACCGCGCTCATGGGGCCGCTGCCGCAGGAAAGGGACATCCAATGGAGCGACCCTCTAGACTCCGAGTTGGACTCGCTAGCTCGGGAGTGGTTCGGGGAAGCCGAAGCTCGCCTGGTTGAAATTCATGGAATAAGTGATCTGAAAGGGTACGTTGGTCGCTCCGCTGGGCCCCAGTCTCGTAAAGTTCCCTTAGCTGCGCTGCTAGAGCGAGATCACCGTCGGCGGTTTTCGAAGCAGACTGTCTGCTGGATTTCGTTCGAGGCCCTGCTCAAGAAGGCAAAAGCAATCAGTGCTGGGAACCCTGGAGCCAAGGGGAGAGCTCTTTTGGGATCCTGGAAGCTCAAGCTGTTCGACATTTTAGAGGACCTCCAGCTGACTGAAGAGGGGCCCACCAAGGCCCAGCTGCACACCATCGTTATGGCGGCATCGGGGGAAGGTCCTTGGAACGACGACGTCAATGGGGCCATCTGCAAAGAATGCACTCGTCGCCAGAGGCTGGACGCGGCTTCGCAGCTGGCAAAGTGGAAGGAATGGGCCAAGAGTGCCGTCTCAGGAGGTGGTAAAGCTGCTCATGCCTTTTCCAAGCAACAGGTCTCGAGTGTTTTTTCGCGAGGTATGTCAGATGAACCTCGGCTTCCAGTGGCTGGTCAGGCCGCAGTGCAAGAGCTTGTCGATGCGTGGCATCCGATGTGGTTTCGAGCTGGCCGCGGGCCCGCACCGAGCTCCTGGGAAGTTCCTGCCGACGAGCCTGCCCTTTCCCCGCTCAGACTGGAAGATTTACATCGTGTTTGCAAGATGTACGGGCCCGCGGCGGGCCTAGGCTGGGATGGATTTCGCCCGAGGTGGGTATTGCAGCTGCCCGAAAGTTACCAGTTTCGGCTTCTGGAGGTTTTGACGCTCTTCGAGGTTGACCCTGGGGCCGTCGCGATGTTCCTGACCAATGTGGTTTTCTTGGACAAACCGACGGGAGGGGTCAGGCCGATCGGATTGCTCTGCCTTTTCATGAAGCTCTGGAGCCGATTGAGGCAGCCGTATTGCCGCTTATGGGAAAAGTCCCACGTGTACGAGTTTTTCTGGGGCTCAGGGCCCGACACAACGTGCGAGAGGGCCGGATGGGTCCACAACTTACTCGGGGCGCATTGTCGTAAAGCAGGTTTCGAATCAGCGTCGGCTCTCTTGGACTTGGCTAAGTTCTATGAGAACGTTGACCACGGGGACCTACTGGCTGCAGCTAAACGGTTTGGTTTCCCAGTTAGGCTGGTCAAAGCATACTGTACCATCTATGCAGGCTACCGTGTGCTTCTCTACGGGGGAGCTTCGTCGGCCGTCGTCGAATCGAACGGGGCGATCGTTGCTGGGTGCTCGGGGGCCACGACGTTCGCCAAGATGTTGCTACTAGGACCGCTCTTGGAGGCCCGTGAGAGCAGGAACCTGTTGTATGTGCGCAATGTGGTGGACGACATCACTGTTCAGTGTTGCGGGCCCAAGCATCAGGTGGCGGCCCAACTGGCTGGTGGAGTAGAGTCTCTTATCAAGAGTTTCAAGCAGCTGCAGCTTCCTGTGGCGTTTAAGAAGTGCGCCTACCTTTGCTCGAAGGAGGTCGAGGCGCACCTGTCCAAGGCCTGGTCCCTCCCCACCTCTTGCCGCACCGACACGGCGAGGAATCTTGGGACCAACGCTACCTTGGGAGGCCTCCGCAGGATTGGGATTCAAAACTCAAGGCTGGCTGGTGCATCGCGCAGGGCCAGGAGGCTCAAGATATTGCAAGGAGCTGGAGCCGACATCGGGATGGTTCACAGGATGGGGCCAGTGGCATCGGCCCTTTGGGGATCCTCTGTCTCTGGGGTGGCCCCCACAAAGATGGCTGGGCTCCGTATCGGTGCTGCTAGTTCCCTAGACAGGCTCCCTAAAGGTGCTTCGGTTGGGCTCAGGATGTACACGTACGGGCTCGGGGCCAAGGTAGACCCTCTGGTGGTTTATGTGGGGCACGTTCTATTCATGTGGGCTACTGCTGTCTGGGAAGCTGTCCCCCACGTTCAGGTATTGGCCAATACCATGAGGGTCTCGATCGCCAAGTTCCAGAATTCAGCTCAGCCCTGGAGGTCAGCGTCTTCCCCCAGCGACGTCGCGCTTTTAACGTTGCGGGGCATAGGCTGGGACTTTGTAGACCAGCACACCATCAAAGATGACCTGAATGGGGTGCATGACTTGTTCAGGCTCTCCCCGATGCAGGTCAGGACTATGATCAGGCTAGGTGCTGTGCGAGCGTCAGATAGACATGCCCTTCTCATGCAGAATGGCCTGGATGGGCCACCTGTTTACC